CAGGGAATGCTTTATGCAAGAAGATACATAGGTGGTACACTTCTTACTGACCACCTGTTATGTTATGTTCATGCCTCATGCCTCCAACCTACGCTGGGGTTTCACCATGCTCAGCATTCTAAAAGCAGCTGGCCACATCTACTACACAGATTTCATAGACATTTGGGCTGGAAGGGACCCCAGAGGATCACAGAGTCTAGCCCCCTGCCCCAGGGGTAGGAAGTCATTTAGCAGTACAGCACACACCTGCCTCCCCTAACCCCAGTGGGTGGATGATGTTTGTCAGTATGGAGGTGCTTGATATTGTTTAAGCCATAGGGGTATTAAAAACACCTTTATGGCCATATAACACTATCTATGTTAGGGATTTTATCACCAACTATTCTGGTAGAAGAGTTACAGAGGTAACAAAAAGAACTGGGTGTAGAGCAAGTTTAGGAGAGTCTTCCCCTAAAGACCTGACACTTTAGTTTCCCAGTACCTAGCCCCTACTTCTTCCATTCTACCTATTTTGTATAGCCTGGCTCTCCTAACCCACCCAATACCACAGTCCTAAACAGGAAGAAAAAGTCTCCTGAAATAAAACATGCTCACATGTTGGAGAGATTTTAAGTATACCTTTCACAGCTCTGGGATAGTGTTTGCTGTTTATCCTGCATTGCATCCTAAAATATAAGAGGAGAAAATTTAAGGATAAAAAACTATGGAAATTGAATGCATTATATTTGCATCTGAAGAAATAGAACATTATTAAGAGTCTTCTGAAAGAGCATTTCAAAAGACATTTTCCAAAAATAGTATTTTAATAACATATTACTGAGTAACTCATTCTCTGAACTTGGCAAGTCTCTAAATTGTCTTTTTTCCACTTAATGTTGCTTTTATCCCCAGCATTTATTTTGGAGCACAAGCCAACATAGCTTTTGTTTGCACACAAATATCAATACACACACATCCGCTCTTGGAACAGTTTGCCAATTAGTTCATTTGCCCACTGCTTGCCCTGCAGCAGAAGAGCAGAAAGTGCAGTAGGTCCTACATTAATAAGCAGTTAATGAATATCTCATAGTGAGAAAGTAACTTTAGTACATTTCACATTCACGTCATTACCTACCTGATATTTTTTAAACAGACCCAAAATTTGACCTTTTTTATTACTTTCCACTTCATTCTATAGTAAAACACATCCTACTATATTTAATGTTTAGTATTTTAATTATGTGTTTATTTATTATTGAAAGATGCGTTATTAATTTGGAATAAAGGAGAAAAGCAACATTCCCATACTAGCCGCCTAACATCTTTCACCTTCTCTTCAAAGAAAACATTTTCAAAAAGAAAGCATCTCCAACTGCTGTTGTCAGTGATTTACTTGCACCGCCAGTAGTGCTCATATATAAACATCTGAGTTCTATCCACCTTTGAGTACAGACCTGTTCTGACAGCTAGGCAAGATGATGCTTGAAGTGCCAACAGCTACTGGACACGTCTGCCCTGGCACTCCAACCAATGGAGATAACTGGTGATAGCAACAGCAAAACAGGCGATTTAAAAATTCTAGTATAGCCATATGTTCAGGGAAGCATTCTATGAGTCCATCACAATTGCTGACTAATGAAAAACACAAAGTTTGCACAGCACAGTTGAAACTAGTTAGCCTTCAGATGTTAACAGATTCATGTTGGTTATTTCTCTGACGAAGAGGTTGTTCCAAACTGCACTGAACCATCAACTGAATCACAAAATTAATGAATAAGAACACATACATATATAGATTTTTATTAAGGCACTTGGATCAAGTGTCTTACAAAAATCTTACTTGCTTGATCAATTCAAAATTACCTTGAATATGGGCACTGTCGCATGCACTCAAAATAGAAAGATAGCTGGAAGCATTATGGCAAAGTGGAAATGAAATGCACTGTTTTGAATTATAGTATGTATGGCATGAAACCCACTGGAGAATGTCACACTCAAGAAAAATCTTAGCAAAAGTACTTAAACAGTGGCTGAGATCAGCCCATTCACAACAGGAACTGATCAATTTGACCACTACATGGATCTACATTTTGCTAATATCAGACAAGAGTTGTTTCAAACTTAGCTGAAGATTTGTAGAATAGATGGATAAGAATGATCACCTAAGCCCACCAAAACTGCCCTGCATGCAGTGATGCAACTATGTGATATGGGAGGTTTGGTTTTGGACAGGCCATTTAATCAAGTGTCTGTAAAGGGTGGGCAAAGTTCAAGTAAATCTGGGCCCTATTATGGTCCTCAAATGGGTCTCCAAGTAGCAAATCCCAAGAACTAGTAGTGTCGGGATATGGCTAGGTAGCCAGGACAAAGTGGAAGTGGCAACTTCCTGTTTGTGATTGTGAACATGACTGCCAGCAGCCACCACCTTTTTTTGCACTCTCCCCCTGCCACATGGGGCAGCTGCATCTATTGCACTCCTGCCCTTAGGTACGCTATTGCCAGTGCAAACCTTTCCCACCAAACTGCTCATCTACATCACTTGGGGCAGGGAGGACCAAGGGATCTTCAGTGAATTGATCCTATAAAACCAAGCATGACAATGGGGAAATTTATTTAGAATTGTTTTACATGGATGGAAATAGTGGATACAGGTTCCCAGAGACTCCTGATGCTTCAGTATGTAGTCGCTAGCAGGCTGCATTTCAGTCAGCGTACAGCAAACTGTACTCCACAACATGCTGCGCTGCAGTAACACAATATACTCCTTTTTCAAGCAGCCTTCTGCCTGAGACCACAGGATTAGTAACCCTGTCTGTACCAGCTCTTTGGCACGTAGGGCACAGGAATCAAAGTGGGCAGAAGGAAAAACACTACATAAGGATGGAAAGAACAGGTGTTAGGTATAACTGGGGTTTCTGCAGGCGAAGTTCCATGCACTACCTACATTTGGAGCTACAAAACTCATGTAAAACATTGGGCTGCAGGATGTACCCCCAGCCTACATAACGTGACATGCATGCACCTCAAAGCCTTCTTAATGAAGAAAAAAAAAAACCAAAAAGGAAGTAGAGTCCTGTGGGGGGTTTCAAAGCTTGCCTCTAGATCCAGTTTTACTCAACATCCTCAGTGATGATCTGGAAGAGGACATTATTTATAGCTTCTTCCCAGTCTGGTACAAATATCATTGAATACAGACACACAAAATAGGGGCTATAAGTTTGAAAAGATAAAAGCTATTGCTTCTGAAGAAGAGATACTCCAGAAGAGAGATACTTCATTGAAGGAAGAACCCTGGAAAGCAACAGTGTTGAAAGGGATTTCAGGTTTGGAGGGGATAGCAAGTTAGATGCAGTTTTGCAATCAGATATGAGAGCCAAAAGGCCAACATAAAATTGCTTTGCATATGAGGATGAATGGGAAGGCAATATTCATCTATAAAACCTTTTCCACAAGTCAGAGTCAAACTGGCAGCATGCAAAGAAAAACTGAAATACAGATGAGTAGGCAGGACAAAGTAATTCTATTATACAGAAACACTTGAGACTGCAAATTACAGCTTGCTTACATGATTACAAAGGGACATGATAACATCTCTCAGTAATTGAAAAATTTAGAAAGTTGAAAATGGAGTGGAATTCAGGGTAATACAGGCAGACACACTACATTAGAGAGTAATGAGATGGGAAAAAGGTTCAGAATATGCAACTTTCAGACAAGAAAATGCTAGATTATGGAACAGTTTTTCCAAGCCAAATACTGGAAGCAACATTACTTGTGACATTTAAGACAAGACTGGACAAAACACTGAATGGAGCTCTGCTGGATATAACCCGAGTATGACATTTCCATAGTGATTTCTATTCTATCTTTGTAAAAATAAAGGTGAAGAGGTATTTGCTAGCTGGTTTCCCCTAGTGTTTATTATTCTAATGACTAACTTAAAGGAGACACTTCCTAGGTAATCAATTATAACATTGTTTCGTTTACAACAGGAGTTAAGAAAAAGTTGATTTATTATTGAATGAACCATTGTCTCAAAATCTAAGCTAAGCAGCTCTACACAGCGAGTTTGGATAAACTCTTCTTCGAGATAAATTTATAACCATAAAGGAGGTTAATGGCAAGACTGGTAGTTATTTAAGGGGGAAAAAAATGGTTCTACCTCTTGAGATGACTCTGTAATCGACTGGATAGCTGAACATGGAGCTGAGACCTGCTTTCCCATAGGCTGGGAAAACTCTGGCTGAAGTTGCAGAAGACCCGAAGGCTGAAGAGGCAGACACTGATCTATGGGCACTGTTGCACTAGGTGTAGCAAGACTACCACGAAGCTGTGAAAGATTTTCTTGCCCAAGGCAGGAAGGCAATATTTCAGGCTGTGACTGCAAAGGTGGTGACATAATTATCGAAGGCTGTACTGGCATTATAGGCACCTGGGCTCCACAATTCAAGAAGATGTAGAGAAACTTGAGAGAGTCCAGAGGAGAGTCACGCGCATGGTCAGAGGGCAGGAAAACAGATCTTACGATGAAAGGCTGACAGCTACGGGACTCTTCAGCCTGGAAAAGCGCAGGCTTATGGGGGACCTGG